TGTGTGTGTGTGTTTGTGTGTGTGTGTGTGTGTGTGTGTATGTGTGTGTGTGTGTGGTACAATATATGTAAAACGTTAGGGTTTGGCTTAGGGAAGGCTTGGGCTGAGGCTAGGATTGGGCTTAGATTTAGGCTAAGTTATGGCTCAAGTTTAGGATAAGGTTAAGAATTAGGGTTGTGCTAAGGTTTGAGCTATTACTTAGGCTGAGACTTAGGCTGAGGGTTAAGCTTACGATTATAGCTTTAACTAACTTTAGGGTCAGGGTTATGGTTATAGTGAGGTCCCAAGCTCGTGTTTGGGTCAATATTAGTTTAAGGGTTGGGGTAACGATTTTGCAATAAGTGTTTGGCTAAGTTTTTTGTTACGGTTAGTGTTGATTAGACACACATACAGGCAGCAAAGATGTAGTTCTGCATTTCTCATTAAAAACAGATGTCTGTACGATGTGAGAGTAGCCCACGGAATCCGGAGGAGATCTGCCACTTTTCTACAGAAAAAAACCTCTCTACCCACCATCAGTCTCAATTAACCCCGCCCCCCAAGAAAAAAACAATTAAAAAAACAAACAGCTAAACATCTGTCGGTGTTCCGCACATATCAGAACGTCAAATTTGAGTAAGGAACAAAGGGACTCTCGTGGCCTAGAGGTTAAGGTGTTCGCCTCTCATTCAAAGGTCCATGGTTCGAATCTGGATAGCAACGGAAATTTTTTTTTCTCTAAAATTGTCTCTTTTCACCCCCTTTCCTGCTCTCTAGCAATGTTCTGTCGCCTGCTTTCGTCTCCCCTTTCTTCCCCCACCCCGTCACCTCCTTTGCCCCCTCCTCTGGGCGCCTGACTCTTTCTGTAGCCTTGGTAAGGAAGATCTACACCTAGCCTTCTCGGACACAGGCGAACAATCGTGGAGGCCCCGTGTGCAAGTTGCGCCTTTTAAAGATCATTTGGTGGTCTAAAATCGATAAGAGTAGGCTTCGGCCGGCACCCGGGCAAATTCAAAATTTACTACCAACTGAAAAATGTTTAATGTGTCATGGGCGCTCATATGATATTATGCAGTTCCGAGCGCCGTAAAACACTTACCAAAATAAAAAAAAGTATTGTAAAATCAGAAACTACCCGAAAACGACTCAAAATGTAAGTCTAGTAGACAAAGTTCTCACCTGGTCCCGTTTCAGGCCAGCCTTCTGACATTTCTCCAGCGTTTCTTGTAAGCGTTTTTCGTTGGTCCCCGACAGCACCACAGAGCAACTCCTCTGGGCGAACAGGACGGCCGTAGCTTGTCCTAGTCCAGAGCTGGACCCTGGGAGGAAGATGGCGTCATACGGCTGTTAATATTGTACTTAACTATGCGTGCTTTACGCCTCCCTCCGCATTTTTTAGATTATTTAAGCATGACCTAAAAAAATATTATTTAGAAGGTGGACGGCTTCGAACCTGGCCGTGGGATACACCATCCCAGCAGAC